GGACAAGTGACCGCGAGAGACAAGCAAGACACGCTCGTTCTGGGAGTTAGGACATTCAACAAGGATATGCACAATTGTAAGAGGGACAATGCAATTTAGAAAATTAGGAGCAGGGCGGCGCTCCATTAAGTGACTGAGTTAAGCGTGTATAGCCAATACGCAACCTAGCCAAAGATGTTTCCCACTGCCGGTTACGGTGGTAGGAGGAAGGCCACGGGGACACACAATTCATAAGAATACGAGGTTTGTTACCAGCAACAGAAGACCAACAACCCTGCCAATGGGCAAAGATGGAGGAATGAATAACTGGATAAAAGTCAGAATAAGGAATACCTTTACGGGAGATGGGACAAGAGTAGATAGCCTCCTTAGCGGCAGCATCAGCACGCTCATTTAAAGAGACACCAACATGGCTGGGAACCTAGCAAAATTCTACAGACTTAAATTTACTGGAGATAAGAAACGGCCAATGTTGAATCTCGATGACCACCGGATGAACTGGATTAAAGGACCCCAGAGCCATGAGAGCACTACGAGAGTCAACTACAATCACAAGGTAGGATTGACAAAGAGAAAGCAGGAGACGAAGAGTATAGAGAACGCTCTTTAATAAATGCAATTTTCTTTATTGCCAATTACAGAAATAAAATTAAGATTACATAAATGCTAATAATAGGCAATTGCATCATTTGATAACTTCATTACCCTGCCACCAGAGCATACTTATATGACTAATATTTGCCAATTCATACTCCATACTGCAGGGTAATCTGCAATTTGTTGCACTGGATAAGGTCTCGATAAATTTACCGAGTAGTTACGGTGTATGATATGCATTTACATTCCAATGAATATAAACTGGCTGCATTATTATAAATGTGATGCTGTGGCATAAATGGGCTCCATAGAGTTGTAAATCATTGTAATGTGCAGAGTGGAGTACTCTGCACTGTTAACTTTCTAGCATGAAAATTTTGTTTAAGTTTTGAAATTGGTATGCATAAAAATTATGAATTAAAAATGGAAAAGAAAACTAACAACTTTGGTCCCATGAATAATGTTATCTGTGCTAATATGAGAACGACTACAAGTCATGCACAAAATTTTGCAAAGGAAAAGCTAGATGCAATTTCAACCACAATTAGGGTGGACCTGACAGTGATAAGTGACAGGTACTGTAATAAACAGTCACATGCATTGTTGAGGTAGTGGCATAAATGCACTGCATCTGAAGTGATATCTTGGATACAATAGTCAAAAGTATCAGGAAGCTTTTAAGCCAAAACATGAATCCTAGTCAGTACAGAAATTTCCCTGGAATTTCCAGCTTTTGTTGTGTGTTAAATAAGGCCTAAATTTTATGTACAATGTTCTGATCAAGGGAAAGAAAAGCGCTCACTACATTAAATTTGAAATCGGCAGCAGAGTATACATCTAGTGCAGGCATGGGTAACCCTTAGCATGCGTGCCAAAATGGCATAGCAACCACTATTTTCAGGAATGCAAAACTCGGCTCCCTTTAAAAAATGAACATTCAACTTCTTTACCGAGTTGTATATTAACTTAGTACAGTACTGTATAATACAATTTTATTAAGAAGAGCAATACAGCATCAAATATGCAATAATCATCGATTATTACTATTGCTAAAACTGTTGTCAAACAAAACACCCTATTTCCAAGCCATCTATCTCTGTGTCCCTTACTCAGTTGTAACATCCCCAGGTGGCCAGGTGTCACACAACTTTTACCTACATTGTAGGTAGGCTTGTAATTGTACTCATTTTTGGTTTGCTTACCCACGAAATGATTTTCGTAACACTCGGTAGGTGAATGCATTGTGTGACTACTGTACGATGAGAGTTTTCAGTGAGTTTTGAAATTTTTATATATTACAAGGAATTGAAAATTAGCAAAAGAATATCTTTAATTTTATTTTATTTTATTGTTCTTTAATCAAGTAAAATGATTATGAGATTGGGCAATGCAATGCCTCTGTGGTGTAGTGGTAAGACACTCGCCTGGCATTCCACGAGCACTTTGTCATGGGTTCGTATCCTGGCCGGGGAGGATTTACTGGGCGCAAATTCTTAAACTGTAGCCTCTGTTTAACTCAACAGTAAAATGGGTACGTGGTTGTAAAAAACGACTCTTTGCGGGGGTCGTATTCCAGGGAACAGAGGATTAAAGACTTGCCCGAAACGCTACTCGTACTAGTGGCTGTACAAGAATGTAAGAACTCTTGAATATATATATTTATAAAAAAAAAAAAAAAAAAAAAAAAAAAAAAAAATATTGAAGAAAATTTGAAAAACTTGCAGATTGATCCAATATAAAAAAATATGAATTATTGTTTTTCTTTTGCCGATGTTAAAAATTGTGACTATAAATTGTGTGACTGTATATGGCAGCAAGAATTACACTTAAATGCTAATAAAAAATATCCACACTATCAAAAGAGTAGCACCACCTTTAAGGGGGACATACAGTAACAGAAAATTAAAAGTTGTTAAATTTCAATTAAATTTTTTTGACAATAGAACTGCTAAGACCTCCTACTGACAAGTGTTGGCCCTGTAAGTATATTTATTATACAAAAAAACAAAAATCAATGAAAAGGCACATTTTCAAAACTAGCAAAATATAATTTTTTTTTTATCTCAATGCACTTGGCTATCGTACTGGCATCTAATCGTGAATTCACATTTTGTATTTCTATTCTATGTATGTCTAGTTGTAGTAGAAATAATTCTGGTCACCCCTCTTTAGAAATGTGCAAAACACCCCTTTGAAAATTTCCAACCGTTGATTTCTGTACCGAATTATAAAAAGTAAAATGCAAATTGTAGAGCTAGGTATTTTGCACATACTCTACATTTTATGTGAATTGCTTGGAAATTGAGCAAGTACAGTACTTACACCATGTGAAAAAAAAAAAAAAAAACACACACACAAAAATGTAAAGTCAATATTCTGGCAATATTTCAGGGGTGCTTCTAATTGATTGATTCTCATGTAGTTTGGCACACCTATTGGTTGGGATATGTATGACATGTAACAATTTCATCCATATATCTCATTTACTAACTAAATTGCTGCCTTAGTCTTGTTGGCTAGCAGCGACTTCGGTCCTGGTTGGCATATTATCGAGGAAAAAAATATTTATCCACCACCCAACAATTATTTCCTGTCGATTTCTATCGTTTTTGTATATAAATTCACATATATACACGTCTTTTTGCATTTGTTTTATATTCAATAGCATTATTAACCCTGATATACATATTATACACTTGTATACAGTCTTACAATATCACTTGCCATGATATTTGATCTAATTTGTTCCATTTTGTTTTTGGGCGAGTGTAGTGTCCAAGATAAGAATGACAACTACAGTATTAAGATGAATTAATGCTAATGAACAATGTGATCGATTATGTGCACCACAAACTCGAGTGCTGGTATCCTGCACCAATTAAATAATTTCAATCTCTTAAAAATGCCATTGATGCATGCTGCACACCTAGCTACCAAGTGCATTAATGCCATAACATAGTGTCTCCCATGGAGCAAGTCACTGAACATTGGGGGGTCGATGCCAGTAATTAGACAGTATGCTATGCAGCTCCATGTATTAGGAGGTTGAACCTCCAGATGCCAGGTATGTTATTATAAGGCGAGTAATTGTGTTGAATGGATCTCTAGAATAGCAAGAGATCTTAAACATCTTTATACTGATGAAATGCCTTTATAAATTAGTCATATGATGACCTGGAGAGTGCAGTGTTAATTTATAAACAAACATCTCAGCCTGATAAACATACCATATATTTTCACACAAAATATTACTTGTATTAAACTCAAACCAAAATAACTTGTCAGTAGCCAGATCCTATCAGCATTACCTTGAACCACAAATGTTGTCCTCCCACTGAAAAAACTGCTTCATATGTAAAAGGTTATGGCAATATTTTTCAGGGGAATTGATGGAAATTCCCAACAACCTCTTTAAAGTCTTAGTCATCAACAATGAATATCAATCATTATTCATAGGAAGCCATAATGAAAAACTAACAGAAAACCTCTACCTACAAAGCAGAAGAGCTTTAAGGATAGAGCTGTAATAGTGAGTCACTGGACTGGCAACCAGGCTCTAGTAGCACCAATTCAAAAACCCATTGATATCGGAAGTGATTCCACTTAAAACAACTTACTACCATATTTTTGGTTGAGCCCAGAATCTTCTGAATACCCTACAAACTGATACAGTATTGTAATATACAAAGATGTAATGTATCTTATAATGCACCAGAGAAGAGCAAACAAATAAACATACCTGTACTGTATATTAAACCAAGCTTGGCATATTTCTAATCTGAATGCATAAATAAAATTGCCTAAATAAATGTGCAATGCTTCATGGAGAATAAATTAATATATTCAGTAACTCAATCATAAGAGAAAAAGTATAAAAAAGGGGAAGGGCTTCATGAAGAAAGAATCAAGTGAAACACCATACCGAGATGGGGTTTATAATTGGAATGGCAAGAAGGCCAAAACACTCCCTCGCATACACACTACAGTTAAAACAAGCATGCTACTTTGAGGAATGTTGTGGTGGCTCATGTATGCAGACAATGTCGAATACATTCTGTGTATTAGTGGCTTTGTATATTTTATGTTGTATACTTACTTATACTCCTGCACTATTATGTACATGCTTGATGGGGTTCTGGGAGTTCTGGGAGTTCTTCTACTCCCCAAGCCCAGCCCGAGGCCAGGCTCGACTTTCAAATGTATTATTATTATTATTATTATTATTATTATTATTATTATTATTATTATTATTATTATTAAGAGAACAACACTGACCAAGAGAATGGCATCAAACAACAGGAGCGGTGTTGGAACAAACTGGAAGGCTAAATGCATATTAAAAAAAGCAACAGAAAGAAGATTTTGATAAGACAACTGTTCTACAGGAAAGGAACACTACTCAGACGGGTTAGTTTTTATTAGTAGTATAGAAAACCGGGGTACATTCTGAAAACATAGTTAACCTAGTCTACATGAACAAGACCTAGGACTGATTTGGAGACGAGATTTCATTAAAAAAAATATATATTACACTGAATCGTAACTATATTGAAAAATACTGAATTATCCTGAATGGCAGTTTTAATATTCTGTATGGTTTCTGTTATTGTTTATTATTTCTTTTAAGACTTGTAATGCCATCTATAACTCAAGTCCTTTAATGTATTTGTGCTTATAGTAATGCTTGCATACCAACACTTATTCCTTAGATGTTGTTGAAAGATCAACATCTTCATGCTGAAAAATATCAGTCTCAAACTAATAAATTAAATGATTATCACAGATTTAACAAGTATTTACAAGTTTGACTTGTAATCTGATGATTCATATCTATTTCCATAATTTATGACAAATAGTTAAGAATTTACTCATTTTCATTAAAATATTTAACAAATATCTAAGAAATAAATAAATAATGCTCAAGGATAAGCAATATGCATGACATTAATGTCCAGAAGAATTCAATAAAACCATTTAACTACTTATACCTCAAAATAATAAAACCAACACAATTATATATCAGTCTGAGACTGATATATAAGATGGACTGTAAATTGATAGACTGGTTTGATATATAATATCACCTCATAAGACTGAGGTGATATTATATATCACCTCAGTCTTAAATTTTTAATGAGAATGAAAGCAGTTAAAAGAATCACAAGTGGAAATAAGATAACAAGCTTTATAAATAACAACTGTGACTGACATTTACTAGGGCCTGAGCTTGTAACGAAGTTGGACAAACACCATTCCTTTGGAAACTGTTGCTTCTCCAACTTCAAACAACTGAAGACAATGTCGGGCATCGTATCTATGAACCAAATTCTTGAGTGTCCGGTTGGATGAGCTTGAACTCGAATGATCCTCGGCCATCCATGTGAAGGTAATACTGAAAATACAAGTCAAATATATAATATAGACACCTGTGAATAAAATATCTAAAACTCTTATTTATATGAACAAATCCACAAGGGCTGTGATGAGGGGTTCGAACTTGCGTCCAGGATAATCCCAGACGCGCCTCAGTGGCGCAATCGACTGAGGATGTCTGGGATCATCCTAGACGTAAGTTCGAACACTCATCACGGCCTCTTAGTTATCTATATAACTATTTATAGACTTCTATGGTGATAGTTCCACTTACAATATTTCTTCAATAGAATGCAATTAAAAATCAGACTTCAAGTGTATATGAGAAAATTTGCAAGACTATAAGAGCATCATGCAGTCAGGGCAAGTTGACATCATGCACATATGTGTAAGCGATCTTTTCAAACATTCCTGCCAAGTTATTCTGAAGCAAGAGACCCTGAAATACAGTGGGACCAGGCCTGGACAGAGGTGAAGAGACCAGGCCTGGACAGAGGTGAAGAGACCAGGCCTGGACAGAGGTGAAGAGACCAGGCCTGGACAGAGGTGTAGAGACTAGGCCTCAAACCCATACATAAATCATGTGTGTTTAGCACTTAAATATTTATGAGCAGTTTGAAATGGGGCCTATTTTCCAACTGGCTTGGGCCTATTACCAGCTTTGAACAGTCTTGAGTGGGACCAGAATTATTAAAATCCCCATTTTACAAATTCTGTTGTTAATGTCCCTTCCCACTGAGACGTTGCAACACTGGTGTACTGTTGGAGAGTTCACGTGGTGGTGGTATAGGGCACTGGTGGGTCAAGTCAACTAGCACTTGGCAAGAGCGACGCAAAAAGGTTCCTCTAATGTCAATTAATCCCAGGAAGAGCTTTGAATTTACTTGAGTTATCTGTAGGTCATTCAGGGAAGGATCAAGTTTCTCCCACGTTTCCTTTGCACCTGAATAATCCACAGTAAGGATGTTTGAAAACATACCAACTGTACCAATGCAATATTTTGACTTGCCATGACTGTGATGCCATCAAAAAGACCAAAATAATGTTGCCTAAGGAAGCAACCAAGTGGTATGTTCAGAAAAATAAGGTAATCAAGGGAATAATCCACACATACCTCGTGATGTTTCCAGAGAGACTTGCGATGCGAGACCGTGAAGAGCGAGATGCCAGCTTGTCTGCAGTACTGGTACATACCATCTTCAACATCAACACTGACAGCACTGGTGCATTCATCCAGTATGGCAAATTGTGGCTTATGGTAGAAAAGACGTGCCATCTACAGAAATGAGTAATAAATTGAAACCTTTTTAGTTAAGTAAAAGTCATACATGTATTTATTTTGTGTAAAAAGCCTAATGTCACAAAGCTTCATAAATATTTTAGTTCAAAATACTATGAATTATTAATACAGTGTTCACTTGGAAATTTAAACCTCAATATGTAAGTCAATGTACAATAAGTAATATGTAAGTAAATAACAAACCAAATTCATCCACTGGATATAAACCTTCAAATATTGGATTTGTCAGAAAAACACAGTGTTGACTGTAATGAAACCTCTTTCTGGTGGGTCTCTGGTGGCTCCCTAATGCTAGCATCCTATATAGCTCCACCCTATTCGAATCACATCAAACCCTTGCGAGTCACTGAATCCCTACCGGGGGACTAGAGGCTAAACCCGCCCCCCCACCTCTATAGAGGCACAGGCGGCTGAGGATACTAGAGTACTCAGACCAGGAAAAGGCCAACAGAAAGGTAGAGTGAATGCACTACTCAGGTTGAGGGTGCCCCACAGGATGATAGCCTCTCAAGGACAGGCACCCAAACCCTCCAGGAAGGACAACCCTGTCAGGATAGGAGCAATACTAATGAGCACCGAGAGAAGGCAACTCAGGTCAAGGTGAACTTTTAATCAGGGTCCACACAAGATGCGGGGTGTAGAAACACACAAACATTAAAATAAAAAATAAATGCACAAGCAAATGGGGCTCCTCTGGACAGAGTCCAATGTAGGAACGACACTTACCTGAAGACGGACTCGAGTGTGTATACCTTTCTGGGGGAAATTCTCTTGGTCTAAGTGATCCAGTATCCTCAGCTCCCAGCACTTCTAGGAAGGGTGGGTCAGAATTTGGCCTTTGGTTTCCAGTAGGCTCTCAATAACTAGCAAGGGTCTGCTGCGATTTAAATTGGATGGAGCTATCCAGGTTGCAAAAAACAGGACACCACCATAGAAGCCCTCCCAGAAAAGTTCAGATTTTGTCAAGGGCCACAATAAAATCCAGGTGATTAGGTAATTTTCCTACAGGTCAATTTTTTTTTTTTAAGTTTATTTACTTGTGGTTTCACAGACCTTAACTTTGACCTCAGAAGACATCAAAGTTCAGGTCTGTGAAACTGCCAGAAATGTTAACTGCAACCGTATGTCATAGGTGAATCTGAATAAAATAAAAAAAAAGTTGGTAAAGTGATAAAACTGGATTGGCCTGATCTGAAAGAGCTATGACTACATTTCACTATGAGTGAAGAGTTCTTAATATCAACCCATAACTCCTTAAATATTTTTTATAGGGTTAATAAAAAAATTTAAAGTCTTGACTAAATAAAAGTTTGGGATGTGGGAAATCAATGGGCCCATTTTATAAGAAATTGAGTGGCTATTTTTAATTTTGGAAGTACTGTAGTGAGTTCTGATAATTCTCATTTAGTGAAGGCTTGAATTTGGCTCTGTGGAGAGGCTAGAAATTATATTTTGAAAATGGTTATGAGATCATATCTCCTTAATTATTTATTTGAATAGGTTCCCAAGAAAATACAGTACTGGAGCCGAGGGTGAAATCTCTCTACAGTCACATTCTCTTGGCAACAGAGATTATGCAACAGTGCCAATTCAAGCTAAACATTTTCCCTGGTGAAATTTGACCACCAATCTGGGTCAGGTCTGGAACAATATATGGTTTTCTAGGGTACATGATACAAATACACAGACGATTAGTCACAATAATGTGGCTGAAAATACGATGATCAAATCACACACCAGAAGATAAGACGACTACGATGTTTCGGTCCGTCCTGGATCATTATTGTTGATCAACAATCAACTTGTTGATAATGATCCAGGACAGACCGAAACGTTGTCATCTCCTCATCTTCTGGTGTGTGATTTGGTCATGATTCAAATACATTTTGCTGGGATGAGCATGAAGATTTTTCTCATTTTTAATGCCTTCTCATTTTCCTCCCTTTTTCTTTCACTGCATATTTTTTCTAAATTTCCTTCTCTATCCCTCTCTAATTAGCAAAAGATTGAAACTCACAGCAATTCTCTGTTTTTCTCCACCAGACAGAACATCCATCCAATCAGCGATCGCATTCCATCCACCTTCTCGATCCAAAATGTTGGAGAGTTGAACACGGCCTAGAAGCTCTCTCAAGTCATTATCCGTGTATCCACGAGCTACCATATCAGCATACGAGTCCGGATAAGTTACCTGTTCAAGTTTTAGAAATTAGTGAAAGAAGAAAATTTACAGTCAACAATCTTAATTTTTGTTTCAAGTCATTCACAATTTTGTGCGCTTCATATTGCAATTACTGTACTAACCTGATCCCTGAGTGTGCCGAGGGTCATGTAAGGTCGTTGTGGAATGTAAAACAACTTGCCAGCACTGGGTTTAGTCACACACCCTCCAAATACAGGCCATAGCTACAGATTAAACATAAGCATTAGTTCACCAATTACAACAAGTTTACATCACCATTTAACCGCAGTGCTATATAGCTATTGTGGCTTAGTGCTTTATTAATTACATTAAATTAAATAACTTATTATATTACACTTACTCCAAAGCAAAAACTAGACCCAAAGGAAATTAAATATACATCTCTGCATGTACATTTGACTTTTTAATGTAACATTTATTGAAGGTTGAGAATACACCAGGATGACCTTCAAAGAAAATTCAATCTTAAACAATTACTGTCTAGTTAATGTATGATGCAAAAAAATTTTTAACAGCTCTATGTGGATCTAATGAGGTTTACCTTGACCAATAAAAAAAATTCCAGCTATCGTTTCATGGTTACATCATTATGTGAATGCCGTCATCGTCAATGTATAAAATTCGATCATAATTACACTATGTATACCAATGATATACCACATGATAATACAGTAGTTCAATTGATCGGTTTACCTCATTAGAACCATATGAAATTGTGAGAACCATATGAACATCATCGCCTGCATAAGTATACCAATGATGTTCATATGGTTCTCACAATTTCATATGGTTCTAATGAGGTAAACCGATCAATTGAACTACTGTATTATCATGCACTACATGTACTGGGTAAGCTGCCGTCTTCCTATTAGGGAGTGTTGTACATGCTGCTATGGCGGTGTGTCCACTCACAGGATGAGTGGCACTGCTCAATAAACTCGCCCCTCGGGGCAAAATTTAAAAATGGTAACCTGCCCTCATCTATGGGTGGCATATGGGTGGCTTATGCCCATTTCAATCTATACTGTTGCCCATGTGGTTTTAATTAGGCCCTTTGCCATCAGCCAAAGCCCAGCACCCATGTATGTTTATAAGTGTTTTCACTACTCTATATAGTTGTAATGAACTATACACATCAAGTAAAGTAATCAACAATTGAAACATTATAATGCCTAATTTAATTTATATGATTTCTCTAGTTATTTAATGCATATTCTTGTAAATAAAGAGAAACAAGTGATAAACATTCAATGAAACATCCGAGCCAAACACAGGAGTCGTGTCTCGCACACCTCGGTGTCAGCAAAGTTGGCATCGTGTGTCGACAGATGCCACACCAAACAGCCACTATGCAACCTTTCAGAGCACCTCAAACCAGTAAAACGGTAAATATTCACATTTTATATTTTTCTTACATTTTACCTATAAATTAATAATTCTGTAATGAAAAATAATTTTGGAATTTTTTAATTTTTGGCACATGATCATTTTGTCCATAGCCACTATCTGAGGGTTAAAGCCAACTCACCCAAGGACTGCATACATCTTACATGTGACACTTGTGGTGAACAAAAAAATCATTCTGAAAATTATTTTTTCCATTTACATTCTTAATTAGCAAAGTATCTCCCTCCTGTGGTTTAGCTGTAGTGACCCATAGAACTTGCATTTTTTCACTAGAAAATGTTTTAATAGACTTATTTGACAATTTGAATGGCCCTGTTCTACAGCTGACTTAGGAAGGTCCTCAAACATCTTAATAAACTGCTGAGAAAATGTACTAGATACTGAGAAATGTAGAACAAAGACAATTTTACCAAAATTAAACGCCCTTTTCCCTTCTGGCCACCACGCCCCAAAATGTGATTACTTCTTACATTTAACAAGTTAAACCAATAGTTTAATATTAATGTAAAATAATTTAGCACTAACACAGTTGCAGTTTCAGACACAAACAATGAGAGATATTAGGATCAGAGAGCAAATCACAAAGTACAATACAGAGATATGAAGTGTACAGAGAATCTATCCCATAGATGGAAGATAGAAATAAATGAGATGTAAAAAATAACTTGTGTAGTGAGGATGATAAAATAAATTTTAGTGAAGAGAGTATAAGCCATGGGCATACAGAGTTGAGCAGATCTAAGAGAACTAGTCATAGAATATCTTACAAAAAAAAAAAAAAAAGCACCAGATATACAAGTTTGGTAGCAAGGCCAGGGGAGGCCAGGCAGTCGTATAGGCTGGCAGAACCCCAGATGATGAATGATAATCTAGCTTTCTGTATGCACATACAGTACCTCCCCTGGCTCACCTGCTTGTATGCCTGCCTGTTTAATCTGGCTGTTTGCATAGCACAGTTCTCATAATGCAATTAAACAGTGTGCATGGGCAGCAGTGAAAAAGTGCATTGAATGCTGCATGCAAGAAATTGTGGAAGACTATCGCGTAAAATATTTCACAGGATTCACGAACAAAGGGCCAACTAATCCCACCTCAAATAATTATCCAATAAATCCCTACAAGTAGAGATGATTAACATCAGTCGTGTTACTTTATTTAAACACTTTCACATTCCGAAGACACTAAAATGTGTCATTGGTAATCCAACACACATGCCAATGGTCATCCAATTGCAAAATTTTTAGTTTTCACTTCCTTAGCTGTTCTATTTGCATTATCCCATCCAAACACACCGATAATGTGTAGTCAGAACCTATCTTTGAGGCGAAGAATTAGGGGCGACATGATAGACGTGTACAAATGGACAAATAGAGGGGATATTAATAGGGTATTAAAAGTATCCACACAAGACAATACGAAACAATGAATATAAATTGGATAAGTTTAGATTTAGGATAGACCTGGGTAAATACTCATTCGGTAATAGGGTTACCTTCTTATCTTGAGGTTATCTTGAGTTGATTTCAGGGCTTAGCATCCCTGCAACCAGGACTCCTTTTTGTTACACCCTATTCAGGAAGCAGCCCGTAGAAGCTGTCTAACTCCCAGGTACCTATTTACTGCTAGGTGAACAGGCACATCAGGGTGAAAAAACTCATTTGTTTCTGCCTCCACCAGGCATCGAACCCAGAACCTTAGGACTATGAATCTCAAGCGCTGTCCACTCAGTTGTCAGGCCCCCCCTAGGGTTAGGGTTGATGATTTGTGGAACCAATTACTGTGTAACATAATAGAAGTAGGATCCCTTGATTGTTTCAAATGTAGGTTAGACATATATATGAATGAGATTGGGTGGATATAAATAGGAGCTGCCTTGTATGGGCAAATAGGCCTTCTGCAGTTACCTTCATTCTTATGTTCTCATCTTGGGCATGAAGGGACAAACCAGAGAGTTTCCACTCACCCAAGTGGCCTCACATGCGATAAACATTCGTATGATGACCAAACCACACACTAGAAGGTGAAGGGACGACGACGTTTCAGTCCGACGACGATGTTTCAACAATCCACTTGAGAATGGTCCAGGACAGACTGAAACGTCGTCGTCTCTTCACCTTCTAGTGTGTGGTCTGGTCAACATACTTTAGCCACGTTATTGTGACTCATCGCCTGCATAAACATTTGTATATTTAGCACTGTCACATATAACCTGCAGTATTATACTTTCTCTTGCCTCTATACTCTAAGAGAATTAATTTGCAAACTTTGACACCAAATTTATAATTATAACGCCACAAATAACTTGGGAAAACAAAATTTGTTATATCACTTGCAAACTATAAGAGCTCTATACATGCATATTACTTTTTAGTTTGCAAATTCCCGAATTTAAAAGTTTTGTTTTTTCTTTTTATAGCTATATTGACTAATCACATGTGCATATTTCTATATTTTTACTTTTTATTTAGGACGAATAACAAATGAGGAATATTAAAATGTTCATAAGCATTCATTGACATGCATAATCAATTATGAACACTTTGGTGTTTGCGTCTACTCTCTAAGAGAATTCATTTGCAAATATTTTAGCATCAAATCTCTAGTTATAATCCAACAAATAATTTAGAAAACTATAAAACATTTTACACATCACTGAGTGGGTCCCTGGGAAGACTGTAACGTTTACAGGTGGGAACATGTGGAGAAAGTGGACCACCATAGCAGTCCAGTTGTATACCTGCTTGATGGGGTTCTGGGAGTTCCTCTACTCCCCAAGCCCAGCCCGAGGCCAGGCTCGACTTGTGAGAGTTTGGTCCACCAGGCTGTTGCTTGGAGCGGCCCGCAGGGCCACATACCTACCACAGCCCGGCTGATCCGGAACTTCTTAGAAAACAGTCCAGTTTTCTCTTTAAGATGTCCACGGTTGTTCCGGCAATATTTGTATTGTATATATGTATTAGTGTGTGGAAATTGGTAATTTTTGAGTTTCTGGAACCTATCCCAATTTTTCCCATATGTCCTTAACTTGAACGTAGCTGGATTTGCTACACTTTGTTTTCCAGGAAGTGATCCCTTGCAGTTTGCAAAGGTCTATGATACTTTTAAGAAAATCTACAACTTCAATTCCTTACTTTACAAAAGCCATCATTACTCTTACCAGCATTGACATTCTACCTTCATCTGTGACATACAGCACGAGCCATTCACTACTTCATGTTATCACACTACCAGCGTTACACCAAGAGTAAAGCTGCTTTCACCTCTCCAAGAATCCTGAAGAGAGAAGACTTGCCACAACCATTGGGGCCGCAAACAAGAACGTTCATTCCAGATTTGACCTCAAAATTTAGCTCTTCCACCAGCACATCTCCATTGGGAGTAACAAGTGGAACTTTTTCAAAACGAATTACATTATCTTCATTGATGACTTTTCCTGCATTAGGAATAAGAGGTCTGCCCAACACACCTGGAAAGAAAAAATATATATTAATTCAAAATACGCTTAATCGATAACAAAAATCAGCAAAATCATTAATCTTACTGGGAGGGATTATCACATTGGGTATGATTTTGTAATGGAAGGCAGCTAATAAAAATATTATGATATGATTCATAAAAAAATCCAGTTCCCAGAATTATCCAAGATATGAAGAACATTTTAATTATCAGAACCGGGTGAGAATCCTGAATCCTCATACCTTTGTGTGTATTTATACCTCAAACTTATTTCAATTTCTAATTATCAGGTGAAGACTCAACTTTACCTATTTTATTATTTACTTATTTATTTATTTATTTATATACAAGAAGGTACATTGGGTTTGTGAGAATACATAGCATAGTAATTACAATCTTGTAAAGCCACTAGTATGCACAGCGTTTTGGGCAGGTCCTTAATCTAACAGATATCCTATTAAAGCTATAGTGATACAGCCATTATCAAATCATTGTAAACACTAACTTTTATAAATTAGAAAAATATGAAATCTTTCCAAGAATGCTGTCTGCCTAAAGAAAACTTTGAAAAACAATTTGGTGAAAAACAACAGGTTCAAGAGTGTCTCGCTCCCACCCTTCCAAAGTAACATTTTGGTTATTCTATACCATAGTTGCAATTTTCAGCTTCCAAGATACTACTCACCATTGATTGCTTTGCTTTCCAACATTGTACGCTTATATGTTCCAGTATTTAAATCTTTAAGAACAGTCAAGAGCTCCTGAACTCGAGCTGTAAAGCCAGCTAATCTTGTCAGTTCCCGTCCAGCCAACACTAGCCGTCCTATTGCCTCGGCCAACTTCACAAGCATTCGTCCACTTTTGTAGTAGTCCTAAGAGTAGGAAATAATATTAGTAGTGTAACTATCATCATTAAAGCTAAAAAACTACAACTATTAAGACCTTTCAATATATCTGGAAAGGAAAGTCTCAAATAGAAATGTGCCACTGTTCCAGATTTGAAAAATTAAAAAATGTGTGGGTAAATACACAAGATACAAGGTGATAATCAGCCACACTAAACGCATTAACAATTCCTTATGCTGTACAGTTTAGGATATACATGGTTACTTTGACAATGTAGTAATAATACAATTAAGATACAAAAGTTGGTAACATCATTTATGAAATGAGCTCATTCTTGAGGTTATTAACCTTTCAACTGCACAACACAACGTGGGATGTTCTTGCTAATTATCTGTAAGCTACAAAACATAGTCAAGGATGTTTTAAAGTACCGCACAAGATTTAAAACTCCCACAGGTACACAGGGCTCACATCTGCTTCCTCAGGTCTCCAGTGAACAGATGCCATCTTAGAACAGAATTGTAGGTGCCCCTCTTGGGTGTGAGGGACCTCAGCACTGAAAGTGCCCTTTGATAGCACATGAAGCATTAGCACATAGCACTGCCATACATCCACATCATCACTTGATAACGAAGTAAGCCAGTAACTGCAATTATTTAACGACGATAGTGTCATACAAGATCCTGACCAACAAAAACTATGTACAAGGTTCAAATATCAGAGAACACAATGCTAGCTACGACAATCACAACATGAGGCAGACATCCACAGCACACAGCTGCAGTTTGGTGTGTCTACACATCATGAAATGGGACCCCGTGGAAAAAGATTCGTATTCAGTAGTTAGTGACCAGTATTGTGATAATAGCAGTGCACAAAGAAATCACATTAACGTGATGCATCAATGAGGAAAAAAGTAGGAGCCATGAGGAGGATTCGAACCTATGCTCTGGGTACTCCTAAGCACACATTTTAGACCACTACATCACAACATTGTCCAAAATGCAACCTGGGATTCAAGTGAAACCCCTATGGGACCTGAGGCTTCAAATGAAGCCATTTCAGGATTTTCATGCAGTGAATGCCCTTTGGGTGTGAGGTTAGGTTCACCTCCAACATTCCATTTCAAATGCAAAAAGTAATCATGTTAGATTTCTTGTGATCTGGGAATGCCTTTTAACAAAATTAGAAGGAAAAAAGCTATAGGAATTTTTTTTTCACACCATGGCACTGTCTCAGAGATGTGCAACCAATGGGTTATGCTTGGGAACAGTATTAAAACACATTTAAAACATTAATAACCAACACGACCTTGAGACCCTAAATAACTTAAGATCTAAGAATTACGACAATCATTTATCAAGATAGCCAACTCAGAAGCACATGAGGCCAGTGTGATCAAGTCAAACTGGTTTCCTAAATGTACCAAAATATTTTATTAACAAAGTCATTAGATCTAATGATAGGAAATAACTTACCTGCATTCTAGTTTTGTAATCACTGTTTGCCAATCGAGATGGTGTGAGGTAGGGATATGCCACCACAGTAAACCCAACACATGTAGCAAGATCTAGAAAGATATTAATATATTAGAAGAATTACAGATGCTAAATTAGACTAGAAATACTAAAAATGAATATGAAAAAATTTAAGGTGACCCTATGTTTGGGAAGGCTCATTATATTTAAAGTAAAAATAGTAAAAGTGTAAGATTGCTTTTACAAGCGAGAAAAATGAAACATGCTATACACCTGGGGATTACCCTCATCTTGTGTCGGCAGTTCACTCTGTGGGTCACAAGAACATTTGTACTACTAGATGGATGAACTAATCTTGACAGCATTTTTTCAAGAGAATACTATTTTCTTATTATTTATATGCATGCCTTCATGTCATCTGATTCCAATCCTTTTCTTTGCTGAAACTACCCTTAAGTTTTCTATACATTAGATCCTCCCTAATACTAATGGAAACTGCTACAGTATATGTAAATGACAGCTACATCAAAATATAGACTTGTTCAGCACATACTCTAATGTGAAAACACTTTTTTTTTTAGATACTGTACTGTATATACAAGAGTTGTTACATTCTTGTAAAATTCTTTTATAAGAATGTTAACAACCCTTCAAGCATATTTCCACCCTTAACCCTCAACTTCTTAGCGTAAATCAACTCAAAACTTCAACAAAAATCAAAGGCATCAAACTGCACACACAACTACTCACATTTAGCAATAATGTTGTCTATGAAGCCCATGTTGAATCGGAAGAAGATAAAGGAACGCAGGTGATTGACCTGTGGATGCACAAATTGAACTTTTTCATTTCTCATCATATTTTATCAAACATGTTTATGCTACCTACTTTGAATATTATCACTACCACAAGGTTTGTTTAATTTTATTTCCAGAAAGCTTCCATACCTCAATATTCAATCAAATTTGCAGTTCAGTTTACAAATTACTGATGAACAGCCATTCAAATCTGCAAGCCAAAGTACAAAATTTGCAATTACTGCACATGCAAAGAACTATTCCACAGCAGCAATTTTAACAAAATTATTTGCAATTTAAAACAAAATTTACATCAACAATAATTTGCAAATAACCTCTGCCAGATATCTTACTCTGGATATCAGGGAGACAACTTTGTGAACCTGTGAACATGTCACTCCAAGGAGTATTCCCCCAAATTCAAACACACACATTTATATATACTGTACTGTAATTTGAACATGCATGAAGGAAGACAAGGGTCAAGTGGGGTACATAAGGTAAGGTAATTATCAAAAGAAGGCACCAAACCGGGAAGGCTATGTAGCACCATCAAAGTGCGAAATAATCAGAGGGCGCTAAATATCACCAATAATACGAGTGGGGTACATAAAATCATTACAAAGGGAAATATTGTGGAAGAGTAGCATGTAAGGAGTGGAGGGATAGAGTAACAAACTGGTGAACAAGGGATATCACAATTGGCAGACCACCTTAACAGGAAGGTTCATGCTAAACAAATTAGGTCTTTCTCAACCTTTTATTTCTCGACCTCTCTCAAAAGGTTGAGAAATAAACCCCTCTAACTAAATACTGCCAAAAAAAAACCCTACAAATAATTAACAGATAGAAGAACTGAACTATTGCAATATATTATCATCACACACATCAAAGTGTACATGTGGAGTCGGGCCAGCTGTGGAATTGCAGGCAGAATCTTGGTGACCTTGACAACATCAAATCCAAGTCCCAAGGTAGCACAAAAACAGTCAATATTCACACTATCCAGTAAGTCCAGATTACTCCAGATTTTTACTGCCATGAAATAAAATATAAAAGGAAATCAATAGGTGTTTGAAATCCACAGGACACAGACCACCACAAAAGTAGTACTCGGGGGAAGAGCATAATTCATACAAAATTCCTAATTAGGTTTTGTCTGGGTTGCTTTGCACCCCCTTCCCACCCCCCTCCCTTTCACACACGGCAATGCTTCTTGGTAGTTTGTTCCACTTTCTTGACCTCCAGACTATGCATCTAGCATATAATGTGCCTCCATTTGTCTTCTTTATCGTACACATGCCATTCTGTCACCATTAAACTTTAACATTCTCATTAGTATACAATGCCTGCAGCAATCCTCTTTCCACTAGCTGCTTCTGAAGTTCAAACAACAACCAATATATTTATTTCAAATTGCATTCCATCAACCCAAATCTTTACAAAATGTAAATGCATAATACTGAATTTTGATACTATCATTCTTGAAGCAGATGCAATTTATAGCCTGAAAAATATGAAACAAGAATTGCAAGCATCTTAAACATGTGGGACATAAACAGTTTATCTCATTTAAATCTAATATACTGAAGTTTCCATTCCATATTATATCTAGTAATTCTATATTTATGCTATTACCCTTTAAACCTATTAATTATTTGAACCAAATAATTCTTGGCAGCACACCATTAATCACAGACAACTGAAAGATCAGTGCAATCTAATTTCAGAATTATAAATTTTGTTTAAATATCAAAAACTGTACCTGTAATAATATCACTTCCCAACTTAATTTACATCCCATTTATGTCGTTGGCTTAATGGAGATCCTGGGTTTAAATGGAGCAAACTGGGGATCCTGAGTTTGACCCCCAGACAAGACAGAGATAGTTGGGCATATTCCCTTTCAAAAGATCCTTCAGTTCATCAGGCAGTAAATAAGCACCTGAGAATTAGGCAACTGTTGTGGGTTGCATCCTGGGAAAGGTCACCAGTAGTTAGTCTAGGAGGGGCCTCGATAAACCTAAAAGATGCCTTGTTCCCAAACATGGCAAACTAATAAGTGAACCATATGCTATAGTGTTACAAGATATTGCTGGACATACTTACCTAAGTTTAGCTGAAAAACATGCGCAGCTTAAATATATACCTAGGAAATTAAATACCTGAAAAGTTCACTGCAAAAAATCTGATTGCTTACAAGTCTGTTGAATGAGGAATCAATATTCTTCTTCTCACGCGAGTTTCCTTGGTAAAATGCAACTTCCTCAGAATTGGTGATAAGACGAGAATTAACAAATCTAAACTCTCCTTCAAGTCGCTGCTCGGTAACCGTTAACCTACTAATGGGACGGCGCAGGTGGGTGAGCAGACTTCCAGAAAGGATGAGATAAAGGATCATCACACCAGGAGCCTGTGTAAGTAAGAAGAGTTAACTGTATATACTCAGGCATCAGAATTACAAGAGCATATACTAAAAAATATTTTATATGACAAATTACAGTACTATAAACAGCTGATTTCAAGTTTACTTGACAATGTTTTCAACATCTTGCAAACAAATTTAAAAAAAAATAACACAATAGAATTCTATGGGCAAGAATTTTATTGTATAAAATTAAATATTTACCTAAAGATTTATTAACACAATACAAAATTAGATTAATGTACTGTAATATTTTTATGAATAAGATTTAGATTCATTAACACAAAATAATGACAAATCACATTTTTCTGGTGTAAAAAATCAATTCTCAATAGTTCTTTAATATGCAAACTTGACAAAAAATTTAGGAGGGCAAACAAATGAAATTCAATACCAAGAATTATCAATAACTGATAAGTCCATTATCAATATTCAATAATTATTGAAAACAATAATTCAATAATGAAGAAATCACTTCATTTCAAAACATGTACAGCATTGTAAACCAAAGATCAATACAACTGTTCATGAAGATCGGTGCACTGAGAATGGTCTCTCGGGATTCTCCCACAACAACTATGGTTAAAATGGTACGGTATTTGTTTCCACCTTACCTGTCCACCAATGGCCTGAGTCAGTTTTTGTACATATATCAAAATATCAAGAATTGGCTTGCTGATGTTGGAATACAGCTCCACTACAGAGTCACAGAACTTCTCTACATCTTGGGTCAACAGCTGATCTGCATTGCTAATTCTATTATCCAGGTTGTTCATTTTGTAGTATGTAAAGCCCCTGTAAAAAGAACTTGTGTTAAAAAGCAATAAAATTCATACAATGTTATACAGGTAATTACCTGTATTATGTATTGGTATAGGTACAGTATACATGTAGGTATTATTGTGTACAGGTATACACAAGTAATTACACTTGGATAATTACAGTACATTATAAGAAAATATAGTTCTAAAACAATTTATGTTCTCGGTACCTTTCACAGTGACTACAACCTATTAACTGTAATGTTACAGTACTTAAAACATACTAGTCAGCAAAACCATTCCAAACGAGCCCATTATGCGAGTAAATTGTTAAGTTGCTTCAAAGAGTTATAATATAAGTCTGCTTGAACAAAACCTGATCGAATAATGTCCAAATGCAATGGAAGTACAGTGGGGCAATGGGGGTACAGTACGTTCCCAGAGATGGATCGTAAGTCGAAATATCGTAAGTCGAAGCAATTTTTCCCATAAGAAATAAAGGGAATTGAATTAATCCGTTCCCCACCCTCCAAAATATTAACTTACAAATACATTTTATACCGAATACAATGTTTTTTACTAACTACAATACAGTACATATGTTTATCTTATCTTTATGGAGGACTCATGATGCATATGGAAGATGGTGAGGAGGGGGGGAGGAGGAGAGGTGTTACTGTTTGGAAGGGGAGTCCCCGTCCATTATAACATCAGGCAGTGATGACTTCTCTGGGGTACTCTCTCTCCTACGTTTTGCCTCCATACCACTAGGACCTGGTTGTGATTCACTGCTTGTTTGTTTCACTAAAACCCGTTCCAGAGATTTTTTTTTCCACATGTTTTAATTTTTGTCTGTAGTGAGGCATCACAGTGTCATTAAAAAGGTTAAGGCAATGGCCTACTGCACCGTGATTTAGGCGAGTCGTTTCAGCAAAAGTTTGCACTTCTTCCCATGCTGCACACATTTTCTTAATGAAGAAGGGACATTCTGTACTGTCTCCTCCTCCCCTGAAGAAATTTCCTCAGCCGTCTCTTGTTGCTGCTCCTTGTGAAGTTCTTTGGTGGTCAGTTCTTCACTGTGTACCTCCACCAGCTCGCAACACACAACACTCAACACTGTGAATGCGACTTTTTCTAAATTTCTCAAACCATCTCCTGCTCGCCTTAAACTCATTCGCATTTGCATCACTCATTCCAGGGGTTTTCTTTATAAGGTCTTCATACAATTTCCTTGCTTTATTACAAATGATGGCCTCTGAAGCTCTATCACCCACTAACTCCTTGCTGTGTATTAAAAATATTGGAACCCATTGCAGTCTCCGTGGTGTAGTGGTAAGACACTCGCCTGGCGTTCCGCGAGCGCTATGTCATGGGTTCGTATCCTGGCCAGGGAAGATTTACTGGGCGCAATTCCTTAACTGTAGCCTCTGTTTAACGCAACAGTAAAATGTGTACTTGGATGAAAAAACGATTCTTCGCGGCAGGGGATCGTATTCCAGGGACCATAGGATTAAGGACTTGCCCGAAACGCTACGCGTACTAGTGGCTGTACAAGATTGTAACAACTCTTGTATATATCTCAAAAAAATATTAATAACTGTTCAACATCCTCAAGTGTTTGTGTTCTATGTTTCGTGATTATTGATAAGCCTTTTGCCACTTTAGCACCCATAATGTCCTTTTTCTTTGCCAGTATGGTGGACATCGTTGACTGAGATTTGTTGTACTGCTTAGCTAGTTCAACAACCCGCACACCATCTTCATTTTTACGAACGATCTCTTGTTTTTGCTCTATGGTCATCCATATATGGGTTTTCCTATGTTGAACCTTACCACTGACTTTCTTGGAACCCATGGCATGATATATTATAATTACTTTTATGTTCAAAGAGCAAAAAATCACCACAAAAACGGAATTTCTTATAGGCGTGTTCGTCACTAATCGGGCAGCTGTAGTAAACCGAGGCAGGTCGGCCCGTGTGACCGGGAACCATGCGCTTGGTTGACCCAAACGTGTACCAACAAATATCGTTAGTCGACGACACCATCGTATGTCGAGTCGCATTTTTCGATCACATTTACAATCTAACTCGAAATTATCGCAAGTCGGGGCAATCGTAAGTCGAGGTGCCACTGTACTCTGCTCTGGGCAAGAAATTATGATGATCAGTTACAATAGTAGTTAACTTGAAGCATTCACTAAAATATAGTGCACCAAAAAACTAAATGTAACTTTCTTTTAAAAATGATTTTTTCCCAGTGATTAACACAAGCTTGTGTCAAAAGTATCCAAGCATTTACAATGATAAGCAGATGATGAGTCACAATAACATGGCTGAAAAATGTTTACTAAATCACACACTAGAAAGCGAAGAGCCGACGACATTTCATAGTCGTCGTTAAATGATAAATAATACAAAGTTTAAATGTTAAATTAATTCAAATTGTATGATAGAAGTTAAATTAACAATGATCAGAAATTCAAGTTAAAAAATACATTTATATAAGTAAACATTATATGTTTCCCGAGATTATCTGCACAAATATTTTTTATTTACATGTCATCTTTTAACCCATGTGTTGCTAAGGGCTATTTGGCATTTGTCACCCACAGGCACATAAAAAAAAATATTAACAAAAAAAAAAAAATTCTTCTTAACCTGCTAATTTGAGTTCCCTGATCACGGGAAAAATAACAATAAAATTGTAAGTGGCATATTTTGGCCGCAATAGGTCGGAGAAGTCTGGAGAGAGAGAAAAAAAAAAAAAAAGCGCCGACTCAGCATGCGTCGGGGAAGTTCTGCTTCACTCCAGCTGTCAGGCAGGGGGTTGCCACAAAGATATAACTAATTAATTATTTCAATGTGATTTATTTTTTCTCTTTTTTTCTGTAATATTATTCAATAGTGTGATATATTTATATAATAAAATGTGTGAATCATCGCTGTACTCAAAATTATGGTGTGCATATTATTCATTCAATTATTATGTTCATGAAATAGTGAACAAATACTTTGTCGGCTATGACACTATATACACAGGTTATATATAAATATCTACATTTGTGTTCCCCATAGTGAACCACTAATCTTGTATGGTGACGGCAGACAGTAACAGGTGGCCACACACAACTTATGCTCCCTCCCTCCCTCCCATCGTCACTGGTTCAAGGCCAGATGCACTAACATTCCTCCTTCACGGATACTGTTTGTGGTGTTATTACCCTATATACACGCATTATATACAAGTATCTACACGTTTTATTCACTATAACTGTTCAACTAAGGCAGTATAGTGCCCAAAGAGCATAGTAGCCACCCTTACCCATCATGCCAAGTCATGCAGATGTTGCCACCACCCTCACCAAAATGGCTTCTCCAAAACTCCTTTTGCTCTCATTACACTACATATACACGTTATATATAAGTATCTACATTTGTGATCACTATAAGGAACCACTAAGTTGGTATGCTGAGTCAAACAGCAGCAAGGAGTGACCACCACACACCAGCTAGACCGCCACTGGCCGCCACTCCTTTAGACGTAAACAAACACACAACTGCAACACACACAGACTGCACAAGAAAGCAAACTTGAATAACAATGAAAAAACTTGAGATGATGCAATTTAGTAGTAAGCCAAGGAAAAGGGAAGGGAAAACCGACTACCTAAAAGATAACGTGTGCTTATTCTATTAATTTCAAGCTAAGCAGCCATTAAGGAAGACGAATACTATGTACATCGCTCAACACCACACCATATAATAAAGGTCAGTTACAGATGACTACTAATAGACTACACTTCAAATGCATTAGTTTGGTAGCAGCAAATAAACTACAAAGTAAAAATAGCCAACTAAGTGCTTACTTCAAGTAGCTGTCATAAAGATGATTGGACAATCTGGTTCTGAATCGCAGCTTCATTTCATTGAGCCCATACTTGAGAACATTATTTACCAGTGAAATCTGAAATGTGAGGAATATACATTAAAATACATTTTCAGACATTATTCTGGTGCCTTGACATAATAAATAAATAACTGTGCTATGTGGTGGTCTACAACTTCCACCCACACAGTGCAAATAGCGATTCAGAATGAAGACTTTTTACGAGATTAAATAACTTTTGTTACAATGATGTATTCTGAATGTTACATACATCCCGTATGTAATTATTTTGAAGTATTCAATAATGCTACAAAATATAACACTCTTAATAATAATGCAGATGCTTTTTCATTGTAAATTTTACACCACATATGTCGAATTCCAATGAAACTAAACAAAAGACTGCTACTCTGGCGGTACCTGACTAACCAACATCAAACCCCATGAAAAATCACTGGTAGCAAGTAGATCTTTAGAGCAGACCAGTGGAATTGAACTAGCATCCTGGGTCACCCCAGACATGCACCTTACCCCAGGAGATGCACCCCTGGGGAATGTCAGAAACAACACTAGTACCAATGCCTATTTTCCACCCTAGCTAGAATTATTTTTTCCAATAACTCAGCCTTATTATCCATGGAAAGAAGTTCCTTCTTCCCTTGTCTGATGAATCTATACACCATTGCAGCATGACATGGTTTCTACTCACAAATAATGATATACCATAAGAAAAAGCAGCAAAAATTACTTTAATAATGAGAGGTCAAAGCACATTCACAAGTGAGGAACACACACTCATAGATTTAAACTAGCTAAACACAGATGCCGAAGAAATATAAGAAAATTCACTTTCGCAAACAGAGTGGTAGACAGTTGGAACAAGTTAGGTGAGAAGGTGGTAGAGGCCAAGACCGTCAGTAGTTTCAAAGTGTTATATGACAAAGAGTGCTGGGAAGACAAGACACCACGAGCGTAGCTCTCATCCTGTAACTACACTTAGGTAATTACACAGTTGATAAACATGCCTTCTCAAGATGCCTAGGTGCCTCAGAAAAAAAAATGGCACAAAATCATCGGTACAATTCATAGTGCAATACAAGTTTAGAAAAACATTTTAAAAATATGAATGCATTCTTTTAAATAATACGTTACTATATTTACAAATATAAAAGAAAAATTAGCAAGACTAAGAAAATATAATGTGATGGGAATTACTTTGCATGATGAACTAACAATTTCACCGTTTCCTTCCAGAATCTGAATTCACGAGATATCCAAATTTTAGAGGGGTGTTCCAGTACACAGATTTGATAATTTATACAAAGGTTTAAATTGTAAAGGGTGCAGTGTATATACTTCATATACGTGGGTTATTTAGGGAGATACAGACAAGAATACCTGGAGCCAGAGTGAAAGCAGACTATGATGAAAGTATTGTAGTTGTTATTGACATGTTTATGTAGATGGTGCAGTGCTTTTTTGCAGAGAGAAGAAATTGTAAAAGATTGTGAATGAGTTTGGTAGTGTATAGGAGAAACTAGAACAACTCCCAGAACCCTCTCCAGGTATGTTCCAGGCAAGGAAAAAAAAAAAAAGAGTAAGATTATGTAATTTGAGAAAAGGAAATGGAATGTCAAGGATTTTTGCACGTCGTTATAATGGTGAGACAGTGATTTGAGTGAATGGTAGGATAAGGATAAAATAGAGGACGATACTGTATTGCAAGACATTAAATACTTGGGGGCAGTAATATATAATATGGGAGCATGGAATAGGGAAGGAATTTAGGTAGGATGTTAAGGTGATACCTGAGGATTGCTTAAAGAGAAAGGTGAACAAGTTTGAAATAAGGGGATCATATCACAGAGGTAGATAACCAATATCTTGGAAGAGGAGTGACAATACAGTATATGAAAGACAGGGTGGTGGAAGTGGGGTAACAGAGCTTGAAAGAGTGTAAGATTTGTGTGAAGATAGAGCCAACTTGACAAACTTCTACTGTGGCCACCCCTGATGAGGAGATTCCAGAATGGAGTATGGCATCGGGACTGTAGATGGCTTTAAGCTACAGCTTACAGTATATAGAAGACCCTCAACAGAAATCAAAGAACCTTTAATGGGTAGAAAAGAATTTTCCATGGAACAAGACTTCATTGAAAGAAAATCAAAGTCTGTTCCAAGTGACAATTTACTTTGTAAACGCAAACAAATTATACTTTAAGTTTTACTTCTCAAGCCTGTATTAGTGTAAAAAAAAATTACAATATAGTTGAGAAGAATAAAAACCAATCAAAGTAAAAATTAGAATTATATTTGCATTAATTATACTCAAAATCCATCATTTATACACTACATTATTTGTGTTAAAATGTACAATATTAAATGATGTGCAATATCATTTGTGGTAAAAAAATAATGAACATTCAGAACAAATGATCCTAATTACATTACTGTAGATTATTCCATCAAAGTTCCACTGTACATGAATTTGTAAAGAGTATTCAAGACATTTACACTTCCTTGAGGTTACCTTGAGGTGCTTCCGGGACTTAGCGTCCCCGCGGCCCGGTCGTCGACCAGGCCTCCTAACAAACTTTCATAAAAGATATGGTGACTAAATACGGTACAGTAAAAATACTCCATCAAAATCTTGGCAGATTTTGTTTTGTGATATTTTATTATATTCAAACTAAAACAATAACAGAAGATTGCACGATACAATACTTACAGCTGGCATTGCAAGAACAAGCTCGACGAGGTGCCTGAGGAAGTGGTTCAAGTCCATGGAGATGATGGAACTGGGAAAGGAATGGGCAGCGTAAGGTAAGGGAATTATTTAGAGAAATCACTAAGCCAGAATGACTATATAGTATTTGGAATGAATATGAAGACAAGACGGGATTATGAGGAAAGAGTGAAGGAATAGCACACAACCACTTGGACCATTGGATATCAACCACCACCCTGCAAGAAGCGAGGGCGCAGCTTTACCAACCAGTCTATTTGGTTGGGTAATAACATAAAAGAGCTTCCATATTCATAAAAAACTTGAACAACATTTAATCAAACTGAATCCATTGAAAAAATTGATTGTTATTACAGCAGATGGATATTATTATGTGACTATTTACTAAATACTATTTACTAAATATATTTTCATGGAGGGAATTTATGTATATTACAATTTAAAACAAATCTGGTAAAACAACTATAAAGTACTCACCTAATTGTGCTTGCGGGGGTTGAGCTTTGGCTCTTTGGTCCCGCCTCTCAACTGTCAATCAACTGGTGTACAGATTCCTGAGAGTCCTCACTGAAAGTACTCACCTCTCGATGAGAGTTCCATTGTGTATCATCCATATGTCACACATGCTTCGAACAACAAGTGTGGCAGCAACGAGAATTAAGAATCCAGATTCAGCAGTCCAAAATCCCGGAACCAAAATTCGCAAAATGCCCCTCAGAGATTTAAAAAATTCTCTGTTAACCTGCAAATATTACACTTATTAATTTGTCTTCATACAATTGGCATTTTCACCATCAGACAATTCATCAAATAAGATTATACAACCACCTAAAAATTCAAAATGGTTAGAGACCAAGCCCATTACAGATTTGTGTATATTATTATTAACATCTTTATTGACAAAATTAATTACAATTTTGCCTAATCTGAGGATTTTGATAAAGTCTTATTAAAGTGAGGATAATGCTGGTATTCACTGTCACGCAGGACAGAGGGTTCCTCAACTTTTCAGTGCAGCAATTTAGCACACACTACCATGCCTCCTGGCCACTTATATAATTGTGTATCTTTTTGCTATTTTTTACAAAGATAATGATTTACCTCCAATTTGTCTACCATCAGGAAATACAATGCTAGTGATTTTCTAGGCTCCTAATAAATCAGGCTTTGCTGAATACATTTAGACAGTAAATGATCTAGGTACAATCCCCATGTAAGCAATTTTGCCAGCCTTAAATTGGGCTGTTAATGTGCAGCAGCATAGCACTCTGGAGTGTTTAATTATGACTGTCTTGAAGCAACATAACTTTACATATTTTTTAAAAGTTCTTGTTATCCAGCTCATCATTTTGCTCAGTTGCCATAGTTAATTTACTGTGCTCCTTAACAAACAAGTTTTCCTTTTGCTATATGGTATGGTTTGACTGCAATTTGCATACAAATTCAATCTTAAATTCTAGATTTTTTTCCCATAGGAAAGACGCTTGAATTTTCCTTTCGTTAAAAACCACTATGCTTTTCAAGGACCACAGGAAAATGCTTACAGTGTATCAGTGTGCAGGTTTCCTATGTGCTCTATGAATTTTTCTCAAATATAATCATAATAATAATCTATTTACAAGAAGATACAACAGGTTTGAGAGACTACAAAATATTGGTATTTTTACATTCTTGTCAAGCCACTAACATGCATAGCGTTTCAGACAGGATAATTTATGATAATTATATCTCCAAAAGATGACAAAGCACTATAATTTGCCTATGTTGATAGGAGAAAGAGCATTGGAGCAAGTACAGTATCCTGAGGAACAAAGCTTTTCATAAGAGAGGCTCCTTAATTAATCTGTTGACTCATGGTTTTATATAATTGTATTTGTTACTTAGCTTGATTTATAAACAAAGGCACATACATAGATATATAAAGATGTTATTAACAAGCAAAGGGTATTTTTTACTTTACCTAAATCTATCTTGATTTATTTTAAGATTCTATACATAGAATCTTATAAGATATAGAAGATTTTAACTTCTTTAGATTCTTAATTGAATCTAAAACAAAGCTTTGCCTGATATACTAAACAGAATTAAATGCAACTCCAGTACACAGAGAGGGGTGATAACCCAAACAAATGAAGACCAATGTATAATCTACAAAGTTTATAAACAGTTTGAAAATGAAATATACAAGCATCTATCTACACACACTTCTTGTAAACTTCAATTCTAGAAAATTTGTCTTTACTTCTCCAAAAAGTATGTGCAGTATAATTAAAAGATGACTTCATCTACCTAGCACTTGGGAGGGGGGGGGGGTGAATATATAAATCACACCAACCCCCACACAATTTCATAGCCAGGAAAAATATCATTTCCATTCTTTCAATAACCACAGGAGTACACCAATGCAAAATACTACAACCTCTCCTATTTCTTATCGACTATATTCATTGACTTCAATAGTGTGTCTAAAACTTCTTAACCCTGAACTATTTGCCAATGGCACTAACTTCAACCTCAAACCCACATACCTTAAATAATATACAGTACAATATCAACAATGAACTAAGAAAACCAAACTCACAGATGTCAATCACAAACTCACACTAAACAGAAGATCTACCATGCTACATTTTACCTGGAAACAAGCCATCAAACAAACTTTGAAATACTTGTACTCTTACCATCCCTCTCATGCAATTTACAATAACACTGGTCAACAACTTTCAAAAAGTTGTCTGCTTGCAAGATGAAAATACCCGTTTATCATGTATTTTGATACCTGGTATATTTGAATTCAGTGCAATTATTAAAATTGCTGATCAGCGATTGTGAGAATAACAAATTCTTGCTTTATTTAAAAGGTGGTGATGCTGAATACTTTTCACCACACCTCCAATGATAGTGATGATCTCTTGCACGACTATGCCTATCATAAAGATAACTACCGTACAGTATAATAAATTTATCATGTCATGTGAGCAGAGGCTAGGTATGCACTGATAGCTTCTTAAGTTTATCAGATCAAGGGCACTCAGTCCCCAGAGACCTGATGGTCACAGACGCAAGCAGTCTAGACTTTGTCTAGTCACCCACATGTCTACACGCTCACTGGCGATGTCCGCACAGATCAGGGAAACCACAAAATTGCTTACAAGTAGTTTACAGCATGAAGGTTAATCAACCATTTTTTATTTATTTATTTGCCTGTTCTTTGGTCTTTACAATTATTAAGTACAGTAATGTCTTAAAGAGAGCTAATCTTCAAGTTCAATGCAATAGTTTGCAGTTGTTAATAGCCAAGACAAATAACAATATGAATCTTTATGTTCATCAAAGTTTCACCATATAATACACCTCGTAGCCTGGTGGATAGCGCGCAGGACTCGTAATTCTGTGGCGCGGGTTCGATTCCCGCACGAGGCAGAAACAAATGGGCAAAGTTTCTTTCACTCTGAATGCTCCTGTTACCTAGCAGTAAATAGGTACCTGGGAATTAGTCAGCTGTCACGGGCTGCTTCCTGGGGGTGGAGGCCTGGTCGAGGACCGGGCCGCGGGGACCCTAAAGCCCCGAAATCATCTCAAGATAACCTCAAGATAACCACCACTGAACTCTTAATTGGGATTGACCTAAATGATTCATGTCTGAAGTGATAAATTTAGCAACAACATTATTTTACCCAATATCCCTTAAAGTATTGAGAAAACGTATGCATATATCAACTAATGAAGAGAAAAATTCTGATTATCTGACCCTCATGGAAACTGAGCATGCACAAGCTGTGGATAGTGACCTAGTGGCTGACACTCAAACTACTAAGGCTGAATATGTGCAGTTAACCAATCTAGGCTCATCTCTCATGAGTTACAAACCTTACATACTGTTTATGTACTGTAGTTGAAAGATCTTGACTCAGCCTATCTTGGAAAGGTCAGACACCAGGACATGTTGAATATCTAAAAGTCAGATAATCAGACGTTTACCACATTAAAAATACATTAACAAATCAGGTTTCGCATTTATGAATGGCTATTTTGGAGCACATTCTGCTGCTCCGTAAGTATTGGAAAGGAACTGTGCATAGTCACAACAATTTACATGTTGCAAAGGTACCACAGGAAACTTTTAAAAACTGTCCCTGCAAGGTCATTTAAGGTGCTAGAGAAGTAATGGAGATTTATCAATCCATCCATGAATGAGTTCATTAACCCGAGCCTCATGAAGACCCTTCCCCCACCCGCTTCCCCCACTATTCCACCTACTAGAGTACAGTACCTTAAATGGCCCTGCAGGGATAGTTTAACAAAAAACTATCAAGATAGTTTAACAAAAGATGTTCCACAAGGAACATCTGAGCAAAGTTTAACATTGCTCAGATGTTCCTTGTGGCATCTGAGCAATATTTTGTCCTTCCAGATGGTGCATGATAATTTTCCATTAACACAGTGGATCATACCTTACAGGGAGCAGAAAAATTAACCAACTCGGAAAGAAATGAAAAATAGATGATTGATGGAGCAGTAGTCAAAAATAACATTTAAATGAGAAGATCTCAACATCTAGACATACAAGACATTAATGAAATAATAGATACATTAATTATTAAATAATACACATACCTGTACTTGTGCTCTTCTTCTGTCACCAGAACGGCCAGACTCGTTAACCACAAATTTGACTTCATCTTTTGTCTGCTTTCTGGAAGACAATTATGGGCACTTGAACTTTGAAAACACTAGAATAGGTATTTGTTCACCACAGAATAAAGAGCCGAGTAAATGTTATCTTAGGAGTATAGTGGAATAAATAATGTCACAACAGGGAAGAAATGGGCATTAACCACTGCACTGTGCATAGCGCTGCCTTCTTGAGATTTTGAGATGATTTCGGGGCTTTAGTGTCCCCTTGGCCCGGTCCTCGACCAGGCCTCCACCCCCAGGAAGCAGCCCGTGACAGCTGACTAACACCCAGATACCTATTTTACTGCTAGGTAACAGGGGCACAGGGTGAAAGAAACTCTGCCCATTGTTTCTCGCCGGCGCCCGGGATCGAACCCGGGACCACAGGATCACAAGTCCAGTGTGCTGTCCGCTCGGCTCCCTTGAGATACTTTTAGGTAGAGGGAATGATTCAAAACTCCCATGGGTACAAGGGGCTTGTATCCTCTATCTCAAGACTCCAGTAAACATATGCCATCATGAGCAAAATAAATCATTGGCATCCATACTGGGGGGTGAGAGCCTCAATACTTAAGATAGTGACCAAGGCTGGTGTACGCAGCAGGAGTTCACAGCATTTATGCAGCTAGGGACTACAGCACCCCTTAATAATGATGAATAAAATAGGTAACTGCAATTATTTTGCATCGATAATGTCATAGATGATCCTGACTGATAAAAGACAATGTACCATGTTCAGATATCGGTGAGCACTATGCTAGTTATGAAATTCACAGCATGAGGTAGAGAGAGCACCCAACTATTGTTTCCTACATCTATGCATTATGAAACGACCTCATCCACCTTCATAATATAACCTTGTGGAAATGAATTCATATTTGGGAGTGTGATAGGAATGTGATAACATCAGTTCTGTGGCTAGTCATAGTAAACTGTGTAGAATATTGGAGGCCTTTTCTTGCCTCCAATATTGGACAGAAAGTGGATGGCAACGAGTGCCAATACTGAATGAACTTTAGGGATAAAGGTAAGTAGCAATAGAGCACTCAAGTACCAGTAATGCAAAAACCTTAAACATACAATACTCAATTGTTTCATTCTACAAGACACAAGGATAACCAAGTCCAACTAATAACTAATATAATAAGGAATAGTCCCCCTAGTCCCCTCTATTTAAAAAAAAAAAAAAAAAAAAAAGTAGAAAGAGCTCAGCGGAGAACTACTGTCCAATCAGCTTGACATCACACATCTGCAAGCTCATGGAGAGAATCCTAATGGAGGGAAGCATTCACCATCTTTCAATGGACAATATTGTAAAATCAACACATGGGTTTGTGAAAAATAGATCCTGCCTTACAAACCTGCTCACATCTTTGTAAACCATAACCAGCTACTCAAAGGAATTCTGGTAGATGTAGTATACATGGATTTTGCTAAAGCCTCTGATAAGGTACCACATGAAAGTCTGGCAAGGAAATTACAGGCACATGGAATAAATGGAAGAAGAGTAGAATGGTTAAAACAAAGAAAAAAGCATGGAGACCACATCTTCAGAAGGACATGGTTGCTCTGGAAAAAAGTGCAACACCAGGCAACAAAAATCATTTCAGAGATAAGTCAACTCACGTATCAGGAACAGTTGAGGGCCACAGGGTTAACACTGCAAACCAGGCATGACAGAGCATATTTCATTGAAACTTAAAAAACTGTACTGTACAATTTGGAGGATGTTGATCTGGACAATTTCTTCAAAACATCAATGTAACACAAACAAGGAGCAACAGTTTTAAGCTCAACAAGCCACAATGTAGGACTGAGAATGGGATGCTTTTTCACCCAGAGGGTTATAAACCCGTGGAACTACTGTACCCACCCACCTAAGCCGTATATGTCAAAACTCTCTTAACTTTTAAAGTACAACTAGAAAAGATCAAGGCAAAGGGGGGAAACCTTCAACAAGCTGCCAGCTTTCTGTCCTCATTAAGACCACTAGTGTTAGTGGCTCTGGTAAATTCATGTAAAACTACTTGTTAATGATGATTTTTTTTGCATATTCTACATCATATACTACATTTTATATTACAAGATATCCAAACCACAACCATGGTACTACTAGGAACACATCACAGCTACAATGTTTACAACCACATGTTCCACAGCACATGATGCACTATATAATGTATGTACCTGATATATCCCCATGTATGCTGGCTCAGTGCTCATGCATGAGCTACCCCTTTATTTCAAAGTTCTAGTCATGCAATAGCGAATAAAAGTTTCAAAATGAAACCTTTTTTTTTTTAAATTGACATTCTCCCATACAAAACCCCTGGAGACAAAAGACACACTTGTATTTTATGGTTAGAGGTCTTAAACTTTTGATTTAAAAATCAATTAGAACAAACTTAAATCTATTGGTAATAAATTACAGCAGCCAGCCAGCCACAAATATTAAGGAGTTTTCAAACAAAATATACAAAATACAGAATTTGTAAATAATATGCACATGAACCATTTTATTTATGGAGAAAAATGTATTTTCATAAAACATTCAAATCAAACCATTATGAAATTATTAAGGTATAAATAATACTATGCTATGCATAATGTCACTGACCTATTCTGGCCACCTTCTCTTGACACACAATAGATCCAATAGAGGAAGGCTGCTGTAGATGTGGCTCCAAACAGTCGCGCATCTCGAGACTGAGATATTACGGACAGCTTGCTAAGAATAGCCATGGCTTCCACTCACTTCCTGCAATGGTTAAAATTATTAAAAAGAAATAAAAAAATAAAGTACAGTACAGTACTGCATAGTATTTGCATTTTCAAAATTCAGCACAAATATTGAAACACAAAAACAAAAAACGACAGGTTGCTGGATATGCTTGAACAGTGTACATTACACCAAATCAAAATTGTGTCCAGTAATAGGTAAACCTGAATTCACTGTAAAAATATAACAATACTGCACATACATACAATTACAATCAATATAGCCTACAGTAGCCTTAGCAATTAACTTGGTGAATATACTGTACAAGACACTGTACAACCAGAAGACTAACAGCAGAGTAACAACTGAAAGCAGCATGTCGAATACAACTTGTGAAACAGTGGCCTAGTGACCTTGGCTCAACTGAGGATCCCAGGTTCAAACCCCAGGCAGTGCAGAAATGCTTGGGCACATTTCCTTTTACCTAATCTGTTTATCTATCAGTCAAACAGGCATCCAAACCACCAGATGCCACACCAAGTTCTAATAAATTATGAGCTACCAAAAACTAGGACCCAAGTCTAGCCACCTCAATAGAGGTATAGGGAAGTCTGGGAACATTTGCAACCCTGTTTCAAACTAAGTAAACACCTGTTGTCTAGGTCCAACTGCTAGCCAGAGCATCATACTGACACCGAATTTCTTAGTCAAAAATAGACTGGGCAATATCTGACATTGAAATTATCAAGTTAACAGTACCTAAAAACCACCTTTTAATCTTATCAAATGACGTAATATTGTGCATTACTGCAACATCACCTGATATTATCTCATCATTAATATCTCAACTGGTTTTAAAATAATGGTACACAACTTACAGCAGACAAAAATCTAACGATAATACCGTTTTCTTGAAATATGCATATCATATAAAAAAATAATGTAATTGTAATGCATTCTCAAAGGCAATTACAGAATTGCCCAAATACTGAAGCCTTACCTAACTGTAGGATTGTAGATAGGTCACATGTCTGACACTATTCCCAGGGAAGCCACGTTATTTGGATGCAGAATAAACAAGATAACAAAACTGGATTTGCATAAGCAGTTTTGTGATAGAATATTAGTACTGCACTATAGTAAGGGAACATTGGAGCATGCTTACTAGCCCATGTGAGGCAGATTTGATTTTGATAATCTTTTTTTTACTCATCTCTCTCTATACCATGTTTTAAAACACCAAATTATAACCTCAATAATATTACACGGTAATTTATATAATACTTCCACAACCCATTACCAAATCAATATCTGCCTACATTGCACCTTCCAAAATCAGGACCTCCATATTAAGAGATCCATTTAAACAATGGATTAAATCCATCTTATCTCCCATCAGAAATTCATAGTTGTCAGAAACAAAGTTACTGTATTCCAGTTGGTGCAGTGAAAGCAAGGTTCTAAGTTCTTCCCAATCACTTAATTTTTTTTATTTTTACCAATCTCTCTTAATTGTAAATATCATTGAAAATGATGCTATACTGAGGTATCAGTATCTGGGCGCCTGACAGCTAGGTGGACAGCGCTTCAGATTCGTAGTCCTGAGGTTCCGGGTTCGATCCCCGGTGGAGGCGGTGACAAATATGTAAAACGTTTCTTTCACCCTGATGCCCCTGTTACCTAACAGTAAATAGGTACCTGGGCGTTAGACAGCAGCTATGAGCTGCTTCCTGGGGGTGTGTAACAAGGAGGCCTGGTCGAGGACCGGGCCGCGGGGACGCTAAGCCCCGAAATCACCTCAAGATGAGTTTCAGCTCTTTAGCCCTGCCACACGTATCAAGTAAGTGCCTCTATATGCCAGTCTACAGACCATATCATTCTGGAAACCCAAATGTTAACTCAAAAGCCTATATATATGTTATTAGAAAATAGAAATTAAGACATTTTGCCAAAAAATTATTGATGTGTGTACTTGTGTGGGTGATTAAATATGTATGTGTATGTTTATTTATTTATTTATTTATATATATACGAGGTACATTGAGATTGTGAGGATACATAATATAGTAATTACAATCTTGTAAAGCCACTAGTTATGTGCCTCTGTATATATGTATACGTATATATATATACATGTATGTATGAGAATGTGTACATGTATATATAACATTAATAATAGTGTAACTAGCGTCAAAAGATTGTTATTTGCTTAGCTAAACGAACTAGAGGGTTCAGTTCCTGAACCGACTATGTGCCTCTGTAATCCTTTACACCACCGCCCACGGGATGGGTATGGGGTGCATAATAAAGAAAGAAATTGAAATCTTTAGGCATGTTACTGGCAAGAATCAATATACCCGATGCCCCCACGCCTCACTTAATAACCCAGCAGCAGTTTTTATACAATGACAATGTTGAAAAACCTGTACTTCCAAGGCCGAGTGAAAAAATAAATAATGAGGAAAAAAATAGAAAGGTGATTTTCATATCCGCATCGCATCTCCCGCCCATGGTTGCCAGATCCAAATTGCTGAAAGTAGCGAGCTGACGGTCTAAAAGTAGCGAATTTGTAATAAGAGTAGCCCAATTTTTGGTTTAGTGACTGATACGGGTTTCAAAGTAATATATTTTGATATATAGAGTACACTACACGATGTTAATTGTTTTATTAATATTATTTCTGCGCACACACACACACACACACACACACACACACACACACACACACACAGTACACACACATATATATATATATCATAGCCTCGGAGAAGAAAATAAAGAGTACCCAGAGAAGACCCTCTGGATCACAACCATGCACGAACGAAGCCCGACCATGCACAACCCGAAGCTCAAGTGACACCTTTTAGTATGTGAGTATATATATCTAACCAGTTATTTAACCGGAGCCCGACCAGTTGTGTAACCGGAGCCACAACCTCCAGTTGTGTAACCGGACCCCGACCAGTTGTGTAACCGCAAGCCTAGCCATGAACCCGACCAGTTGTGTAACAACCCTGAACCAACCTCTGGAGCACAACCATGCACGAAACAAACAAGCCCGACCATGCACAACACGAACCGAAGCCCGAGCACAACCCGAAGGACACCCCCGGAGCCCGACCAGTTATTTAACCGGAGCCCGACCAGTTGTGTAACCGGAGCCCGACCAGTTGTGTAACCGTAAGCCCAGCCAGTTGTGTAACCTCATCCTAGCCCAACCAAGCTAAACCGGAGCCCGACCATTAAAGCCCAAGCCCGACCAGTTATTTACCCGGAGCCCGACCAGTTGTTTAACCGAAGCCCCACCAGTTGTGTAACCGGAGCCCCTCCAGTTATTTAACCGAAGCCCCGAACCAAACATGGAACCATAGCAAACCAGTTATTGAACCGCAGCCCGACCAGTTATTTAACCGCAGCCCGACCAGTTATTTAACCGCAGCCCTTGCAGTTAAACCGAAGCCCCACCAGTTATTTAACTAGTACCCGACCAGTTGTCCAACCGGAGCCCAACCATGTACGAACCGGAGCACAACCATGTTGATGAATCGACCAGCCTCAACCAGTTAAAGCCGAAGCCCCACCAGTTATTTAACCGAAGCCCCACCAGTTATTTAACCGAAGCCCCACCAGTTGTGTAACCGAACCCCGACCAGTTATGTAACCGCAAGCCTAGCATGAACGAACCAAATAACCTCTGGATCACAACCATGCACGAACCGAAGCCCGACCATGCACAACCCGAAGCTCAAGTAACACCTCCGGAGCCCGACCAGTTATTTAACCGGAGCCCGACCAGTTGTGTAACCGGAGCCCGACCAGTTGTGTAACCGGACCCCGACCAGTTGTGTAACCGCAAGCCTAGCATGAACGAACCAAACAACCAACCTCTGGAGCACAACCATGCATGAATCGAAGCCCGACCATGCACAACCCGAAGGAGCCCGACCAGTTATGTAACCGGAGCCCGACCCCGGAGCCCGACCAGTTATTTAACCGGAGCCCGACCAGTTATTTAACCGGAGCCCGACCAGTTGTGTAACCGAAGCCCGACCAGTTGTGTAACCGGACCCCGACCAGTTGTGTAACCGCAAGCCTAGCATGAACGAACCGAACAAACAACCTCTGGAGCACAACCATGCACGAACCGAAGCCCGACCATGCACAACCCGAAGCCCAAGTGACACCCCCGGAGCCCGACCAGTTATTTAACCGGAGCCCGACCAGTTGTGTAACCGAAGCCCGACCAGTTGTGTAACCGGAAGCCCAACCAGTTGTGTAACTGAAGCCTAGCATGAACAAACTGAACAACACCTCTGAAGCACAACTATGCATGAACCGAAGCCCAACCATGCACAACCCGAAGCCCAAATGACACAACTGGAGCCTGACAGTTATTTAATTGGAGACCGACCAGTTGTGTAACCAAAGCCCAACCAGTTGTGTAACCGGACCCCGACCAGTTGTGTAACTGCAAGCCTAGCATGAACGAACCGAACAAAACCTCTAAAGCACAACCTCTGGAGCACAACCCGATGCACAAACCGAAGCCCGACCATGCACAACCCGAAGCCCAAGTGACACCCCCGGAGCCCGACCAGTTATGTAACCGGAGCCCGACCAGTTGTGTAACCGGAGCCCGACCAGTTGTGTAACCGGACCCCGACCAGTTGTGTAACCGCAAGCCTAGCATGAACGAACCAAACAACCTCTGGATCACAACCATGCACGAACCGAAGCCCGACCATGCACAACCCGAAGCCCAAGTGAAACCCCCGGAGCCCGACCAGTTATTTAACCGGAGCCCGACCAGTTGTGTAACCGGACCCCGACCAGTTGTGTAACTGCAAACCTAGCATGAACGAACCAAACAAAACCTCTGCAGCACAACCATGCACGAACCGAAGCCCGACCATGCACAACCCGAAGCCCAAGTGACACCCCTGGAGCCCAACCAGTTATTTAACCGGAGCCCGACCAGTTGTGTAACCGGAGCCCGACCAGTTGTGTAACCGGACCCCGACCAGTTGTGTAACCGCAAG